TTACTTCTAGCGATTTTTACCAAAAATCCTTTTTTACATAGAAAATGGAGGAAATGTATATTTTTTACTCAGTAATGAGTAAAAAACTTTCAAAACAGTAGGTGGCGCCCCGTGTAGGTGGCGCCCCCTACTTAATGAGTCTTAGTGACATAAAAATCAAGAGGCGTTAGCTCAGAAATTATTTGGATAAATTTGAAATAAAAATGAAACTTAATTCTATACCCTGTATCTCGAAAATAGAAACGAAGCATTTTAAGACATAGATCTATATGAAGTTTTTTTCTTAATTTTGTCTAGAGAATATACTGCCGAAGTTTCCCGAATACAATTCATGATCATCAACAATGATGGAATAAGGATGAACGGGGTGCCGGTAGACCAAGAAGATACTTGGAATGTAAGTGTTAATTTATACTCGAATTGAGTTGCCTCACAGTATAGGCATATTTTGAACCCTTACCGTGCATAGTCACTGTAAATAAAAATAAATTAAAATATAGTTGGCTCCAACGATAATTTAGTTTGCAGCTACTTTTCATCATACCTAATAAAAAAACCGTGACAACCACTACTTATAGTATGTACCTACATATGTATTTTTAAACATCATTAAGAGATTTAAGTATAAAAAGGTGCCCATAATGTGAATAGCAGTATTGTCGGTTTTTTGTTATGAGGAAAATAAGCAGCAAAATATATTATCGACTGCAGCAACTATCTATTCCTAGTTTACATTCAGTATGTCCAATTGAGTAATGAGTCAATATCCAAAAAAGTAATCTCACGTCAAATTTTTTAAAAATTATTGCATGCCTTAAGTATTTGCAAAGTTAACAAAAATATTTCTTTGCATACCTTGCAATTAATATATTTGGTCTAATTTATCAGTTCTGCATCATATCCGAAATTCAGATTGTGTGTGACACAACGAAGAGTCAACGTGCAAGGTGAAAGACAAGAAAATGGCAAGTAAAAAAAATAAAGTTTCATTACTAATTACACAGTCCTTCCCTTGAGTTCTTCTGCCTAAAATCAATATTGCCTTCCCTAAGATTTTAAATATAAATGATTGAAACTCATAACAAGTTTACCACAATTTAAACTTAAGATAATTATTTAATTATTAAAAAATCCATAATTATATTAAAAAATAACACTTACGAAGTTAATAAATATTAACAATTATATACATCATTTAATAATTATTCTGATAAAAACACGCTGGATTTTTTATTTTAGAAATCATACAGGCTATAATCATTAATATGACTATAGGTATTAACAATACTTAAATTAAAATTTATTTGAAGGAATGCTACTTGAAGTATTAACTCGGAATAATTATTAAAAACTGCTCATCGCGTTATAGATGTCGGCGTCTTGTGACTGTTGTCTGACTGATTGGCCGTTTAGGTACCTATAGTTTGATTTCAGATAATGCAGATTTTAATGTGCCATTTGTGGCTTTTTATTGGATTTTTTTTACATATTTGGTATACTCTATGAAGTGCTCATGTCCATTTTTCAATTATTAAAGTGCCTATTTAGATACATTTAAAATTAATTAATTAGTGTATAGTAATTGAAGTATGGGTTTCTTTATTTTTTATGAAATGTATTTTTTTTTTATTAAAATAAACATAGCTGTACTTACAAAATTGCTAGCTAGCCATTTTTAAATACAGGCTGTTAATTAAATATCTGGCCAACTTCAGAAGGTGATTCTTTGTATTTTTAAGGTAAAAAGTTAATATAAACATGTGTCCGAAAATGCATAATTTTAAAGATACAGGGTGTCAAGTCCTAATAGACTTTTTTTTATTAATATTTCAAAGATCCGTTGGCCGATTTTGTTGAAATTTCGCCGTGTTGTGAATTTTGATAAGTTAGCACTAATTAAATGATAATAATTATTATTTATAACAATATTCAAACGATAAAAACTTATCAACTTAACCCAATAAATATTTGACAACGCAACAAACTTGAATTCATTTGTTTTAACGCCTGTTGGCGGTGGAAACCATGCAAGCTTTTTCTTTGTCCTAAGTTGATAATTAAAAAAAAAACTTATCAACTTAACCCAATAAATATTTGACAACGCAACAAACTTGAATTCATTTGTTTTAACGCCTGTTGGCGGTGGAAACCATGCAAGCTTTTTCTTTGTCCTAAGTTGATAATTAAAAAAATTATAATAATATAAAAAAATATGGTAATTAGTCTAAATTTATTATTTATGTGATTCTGCTCTTTCTCGTATAATTTGCCCCTTGTTTCTCATATGGAAATAGTTAGATTAAAATAGCCAAACTGTACCTAACAACCCATGCCTTGACATATTTTTTTTTAAAATAATATCGCTTTCTTTATCCGCCGGTCCAGACTCGACCTTGCCCTAGACGTCGGCTCTATCAACTTAAGTACGTGTTGACAGGCAGGTTATTGAACCCATGTTGCTTCTAGCATGTCGTTTTTTCAAAGATGGGTCCCATATAAACGCGGCTAGAAGTATTTTCAATACTAAAATTCTACAAAAAGAAATTTTCAAAATTTTTCTGGAAAAAAACCCTCATAATCGAATTTTTCGAGTATATCGAGACTCACCCTGTATAGGTACTTAATAAAAACGGACTTAACATTTAAAGGTTTCAATAATATTTTATGATCAACCCCATTCTTTGAGGGTACTTTCTATTGCTTCACGCATCATTTTTTTAGAAGGACTGCTACCATATCAATGTATACTTAACCCACCCCTAGCTTTTTTCTGTGGTCCCCTCTCACTAATACCAATCTCTGCTCTCACTCTCACTAATACCAACAACTACAGTTTTTTGCACGTGTTTTGCATGTAGCAAATGTCTTTTTCAACTTCCAATACGAAAATAAATCGTTTAAGTTTGGATCGATGTGTTAAACACATCGCTGAAAAATCTTACTTTCTTTGTGTTTTATTAAAAGAATGACAATGATGCAGATATTACGCGGCGAGGTCAAAAACAATTTGAAGTTTCATCCAAGGTATAAACAAAATTCTCATATCAAGAATTAGATTTCATTGGAATTAACATACAACCGTTTTAAACCAAAACTAATTATAGTTTACTGAGTAAATCAATATTTAATATTGAGTTTCCATAATTTTATTTCAAAATTAAGTTAACAACAAAATAAAAATTGCCTGCTCTAATCGGGAGTAACAGAATTTTTAAATGGAAACTTATAATTTCATCAAACTAAAATTTTTAACTTAAAGATATTTTTTGAGTAAATTGAATACTGCATTTAAATTTACGAACGTTTTTAATTGCATTATGTAATTGTATTATCTTAAAATGAGAATATGCACTCTAAATTCAAGCAAATAAGTTTAAAGATTTTCGTATACTCCATCTAAGATTGATTTTTTTAGTGAATGAAAAATTCATTCGTAATAAAGAACACGTATTCGGAAAAATCAATAAAACGGAACCATTCTAACATTTTCACACCAGGTAGGTAAAAGTAAAAAAATACGGTACAAACGAACAAATTATCTGATAGGTATATACAGGGTCCGGCAATAGTGCGTCGGGCATCTGTAACCCCTAGAATAAAAAACTTGAGAATTTTGTTTAAGTGCAAATCTAAAGTATGTACCAGGATGTATTTCAGGAAAATATTTTAACTTCTATAGGGTGGCTCAAAAAAGTGTGAGTGGACCTGGATGATTTTTTTTAAATGGAACACCCTGTATATTATTGCATTTTTGGCTTCCTTTCAGATCACTTACAGCATAACTCTAAGATATGAGTAAATATATTTCGATAGTTTCAGAGATATAAAAATAAATCAAAATATATATTTTTCAGCCCTTTAAAAAAAATTATTAAAAATACAAGAACTGTTCTGAAATCAAAACTATATGAGGTATTTACTTTAGATGGTCTTTTCTTACTTTGCTATAAATATGGTAATCGTAAATCATACAGGATGTTCAATATTCAACGCCAAACTTTCTAAAATATAAAATAATTTTTCTTCGTTTTTTTAAATGGAACACCCTGTATATTATTTTTTCAATAGATGGAGAATTAAAAAATGAACATTTTTTGTATTTAGAGTATTTCAAAATTTTTAACGGTTTCGCAGATATTTGCGGTTTTATATTTTATATGGCATTTTCTACAGTAAATTTTTATCAAAGCCACCCAATGATTTTTCTCTCGTATTTTACCATTGAAAGCGCCATATGAAATAATACTGCGTGTATCTGCGAAACCGTTAAAAATTTTGAAATACTCTAAATACAAAAAATGTTCATCTTTAAACTCTCCATTTAATAAAAAAATAATATACAGGGTGTTCCATTAAAAAAAACAAAGAAAAATTATTTTATATTTTAGAAAGTTTGGCGTTGAATATTGAACATCCTGTATGATTTACGATTACCATATTTATAGCAAAGTAAGAACATACCATCTAAAGTAAATACCTCATATAGTTTTGATTTCAGGACAGTTCTTGTATTTTTAATAATTTTTTTAAAAAGGGCTGAAAAATATATATTTTTGATTTATTTTTTAATATCTCTGAAACTATCGAAATATATTTATTCATATCTTAGGGTTATGTAAAGCGATCTGAAAGGAAGCCAAAAATGGAATAATATACAGGGTGTTTCATTTAAAAGAAATCATCCAGGACAAGTCACACTTTTTTGAGCCACCCTATAGAAGTTAAAATATTTTCCTGAAATACATCCTGGTACATACTTTAGGTTTGCACTTAAACAAAATTCTCAAGTTTTTTATTCTAGGAGCTACAGATGCCCGACGCACTATTGCCGGACCCTGTATAAACAATATTGCAAAATTATTAATATGAAATATTATTTAAAAGAAACGTAAAATATTCTCTTGCTGATCATAATTAGAGCCGAAAAAAAATTGTTTAGTAAGATATTGTATTAAAACGAAATCATATAAGACCACTAAAAAATAAATCTTAAAACTTACCAATATACTAAAATACTTCATTGTTAATTCCACTGTTTCGCAGCACAGATACAAATATATTTCGTCAAATTCAAGTAATCCTTGAAATTTACATACAAAAATACTACCTATAGTTTAAGTAGATATATATTATTTATATATTGTGATATCCGCATCTTCCTCCCACCAGAGGTACTTTTAAATAAAGATGATTACATACAGATTGTTTCAAGTAGCGTTTAAGAAATATTAATGAAATACTACCTTGCTTAACATAATTTAAGTTTTTTCAATTAACCAGTTTCCTATTTTATTGAAAATAAAATATTATATTAGTTAAATGATTAACTTAATAAGTCATTTTATTGTTTTCAACAGCTTACTATATTTCTTCTTATATTTAAATAGTATGATTAAAGATTTTGACTTAGAAACAATTGTCTTTTAAAATATTCAAAATCATATTGAATTAGTTGATATCTACCATCTGCCTATAGGTAATTCATACGTGACATAGTATATTTTCTTATATTTTTTTGGGTGTTTTCTGTCGAACTCATAATATCCCGTAATCTTTTATAGAAGAATTATGGAGTTTTACCAAAAGATCCAACTCCAATATGGACAAAAAGAATCTTCCCTTTTGAAACAATGAGCCAAACTTAATCAACACAAACAATAAGGTAGCTGCTTTCGAAAATCTAATAATTTTCTTTTTGAAATGCAATACCCATCAAGCAAAAAACTTCACATTACATTTGCAACATTGCAGTCAATCCACAAACATAATGTTGATTTCTAAACGTTGTGTCGTGATTGATGAAACCTTGCTACAGAAACATTGGTTTGGAAAGGTGATTAAAACGTTTTTTCTGCAATATTGCAACAAATATTCAAATGAAAGATCCGCGCAAGTTAATACTGTTACGTTTTTCATCGGGTCCGTGTGGATAGAAAGTCTAATTTATTTAATCACAATTTATTTTACACTAATTAACAAAACAATAACGATAAAACTACTTAAAGAACTATTTACAACTTATTTATTATTTATCTAACTATATCCCAACTAACAATTTATGTTTTAAAAATGTCCTAAGAACGTTTACAGAATTATTTTTTACAAAATAACAGTATTGCTATAAACATTTCAGCAACGTTTATACAATGCTTATAAAACCAAAAAGGGCGCACTTTTGTGCAGCAATTTAGTTCTTTAATTTGTTTTATTATAGTTTCCATAGCTTTTACGGGACAATTACATAAACATTTACAAACTTATTATAAAATATTATTTGGAACAATTATAAAAGACTTTTATTGAAAACAGTTACAGAGTTAAATATTTTATCAAAATTATGACCATTATACAACAATAATCGAGCTATAATAAAATACTTTTATAATAAACTGCCCGTCAAATTAAATACCATAGCGATTTTTTTACTCATTTTCAACGAGTTGTAACTTTGAAAAAAATGGACCAATTTTGTTGATTTTTTTAGCATATTAAAGATCGTTTTTCGTAGATTGATCTGATTTTTCTAAATTTTGTATGAGATTTAGTTTTCTATGATATACAGGGTGTGAAAAAAAGGAATGTAATTTTTGTGTTGCTGCCATTTTGCTAAAAAACAAAATTTAACTAGAATTGTGAGTTCTGGGTATAGCCACAGTTTAAAGAATATAAAATATATCAGTTGACCCACTCTTCGCCCGTATCAAAATTCCTCCCGCCGCTCCCCGCCTGTCGTTGCTCCACGTGTACACAGCGTTCCAAGTTTATTTTAGTTTTGTTTTCGGCCCGACGCATAGGGTGAACCAAAAATAGTGTTTTAGTTGTTTTGTTCGAATTGTGAATAAAATGTCTACTAGAAATAATTGTGCAGTGGATGGTTGTGAAAGTAGAATGACAGACAATATATCGTTCTTTAGGTGCCCAAAAGATGAAGGAAGGTATGTGTTTATATAGTATAGGATATTAAGTATATAATAATTAAAGTATTAGACATATTAAGTATATTATAATTATGGAAACCTAACTATGAATAAATTGTTTTAAAAATATACATATAAATTAAGAAAAGATTTTACTCGGAATATGCACAAAATATTTATTTTTAACAATTAGTTTATTATTTTAGTAGATATTTCAGAGTAGTAGTAGATACCTTACTATTATGTTTTGGATTTTGCAGTATTTACCTATTTTGCAGTTGAAATATTGCTATTATATCATATATTATAACATTGTAATCTGTATTATCTATATTTTTATTTGTAATATTTCACCATTTCACCTGAATATATACTATATATACAGTGTATCAATTTTAAAACTTCCCACCCTTAATATCTTTCTCGCAGTTAAAAGTATGAAAAATCGGAAAGACACGTCAATTTTATTTGTAAGGGGGACACTTTAAATTAATATTTTTAGCCTTTTTCTTTTAACCCCCTAGGAAGGGGAGATGTCACCCTTACAATCTTAAATGGGAATGGGGGTCAAGTGGCACATGGTTTTAAAGGGCGTTTAATTTTCTCTTCAGTGGTATCCTACTTTGTTGCTTTTTGTCGAGTGGTTTCCGAATAATCACGTTTCAAAGTTGCAGAAACAATTAAACATGCCTGCATTGAGATTTTGGTTTTCAGTCTAGTGTTTACACAAAAATTATTGCAATGGATCTCCTTATAGTACAAAAGATTAGAAGATCACATTACACTACTTACGCCCTATCTTATAAGTTGATCAGAATGTTGTCCATTTTCCTGTTAACAATAATAAAGTGTGTTTTCAAACTCCTTCCTAACATTTCGGAAAACTTCACCGGGAATTGACCGGCATTCTGCTGTAATTCGCCTTTTAAGATCATCAATATCAGTAGGTTGTGTTCTATAAACAATGGATTTAAGATGTCCCCAAAGAAAGAAATCTAAGGGCGCAAACATAGTGCGGCATCTCGATGCGATGCTCGCCAAGATGCTGGCCGCGCTGCTCGCCAGGATGGTAGCTGCGATGCATCCTACGCGCACTGTTTTAAAACGGCGAATAGGTGCGCGTAGGCATACTGAAGCATTTACCATCGCCGTTTTGTTAAACACCAGTTTATATAAAGTAGTTATTAATTAATTAATTAGTATAGGCCCTTGTTGCATTTTAGTTGATTTCAACAAATTCCGACCGCAGCGCTACAACGGCAAAAATCAGATATTATTCCTACCTATTTCACGTCGCCGTCATGTTGATCGCATAGAATAATATTGAAATCGTGGTTTTCTTATAATATATAAGTATTTTAGTTTTTTGCTAGTGCAGTTATTGATACAAAAAAGAGATAAAACACTCAGGTACCAGGTATGTGTGATGTAACGCTGTTTCGGGTAGTAAAAAATAAATGAAAAAGAATTCGAACTAGCCGTCGGCATCGTGCTGTGTTGTGACAATTTCAAATGTTAATAAAATTGCCGAAAAAATGTTAACGCATAAAGGAGAGTGCAATTAGGGCGTTGTTGGGTGCAATTACATTCAATAACTCAACTTTCCCGGATATTCAACTCTCCCGAAACAAAATTTTATAGCTTCATAGTTTCTCACACCGATTTGATCAAAAGCAAAAATGGTTTCAAGCAGTTCGACGAAACAAGTGAGTAAACAAAGTGCTCGTTACATAATCAAAAAATTAAAAAGACATATACTATGAGAGGATAAAATATAATTTGCATATTAATGGTATACTTTTCTTAATCAACTAGTGATTAAAGTACTTGCTATAAATAAATAAAGTCCATAAACCAATTTCGATTTTGAAAAAAAGCTACTGTCACTAGAAACTTGCCATGACGACATCAGCTCTCTTTGTTTATTGAAAAATTGCTCTTTATTCAAAATCTGAGCTAGATAGGTATAGGACACCCTAATATATGTAGTTTGAAAGAGCATTTGAATCTGTTTCGATTTATTTTAAAAAATAGGTTGTCGTATTTGAAATAACAAAGTTTTTATGTAAAATAAATATTTGAAATAAATCATCAATTTTTGGTACCCCTGTGTGTGTATGTGCGTCGAAAGAACGAAAAAAGTGCTTCGAAAACGATGAAACAAAGCGGGGAAAAACGGGGAAAAACGTTCTGTCTTCGCATTAATAATCGAAAAAAAAAAGATATTAAGTATTTTTTGTGATGTAGATGTTGATTTGTATGAAGGTGCGTATTCATTATCCGCACGAACGAACGAACGAACGAACGAATGTTCGCTAGTGGTATGGACGGGGACCGCACGATAGGACCACACGAGGAGACCGGAGGCATTTGTTGGCGAACGCCTTTGATGTACCGCATATGTACCGACTCGAAACGGATGGTCGAGCGAACGAACGAACGAACGGCCGCATGCGTTCGGTCCCCGTCTAAATATACCGCACTTTCATTCGTTCGTTCGTTCGTTCGTTCGGATAATGAATACGCACCTTAATATACAAAATTCAGTTATATGGTTTTAGGGTAACATATACATTTCAATAGCTTTTTTTTCTGTCTTATCATGTATGTTTTACTTTTTTCTAACAATATAGTTTTTTAGTAAAAATAACTTTTTTCTAGCATATTATTTTTTACTAATTAATCAATCAGTTGTTTTTAGGGTAACATATACATTTCAATAGCTTTTTTTCTATCTTATCATGTATGTTTTACTTTTTTCTAACCATATAGTTTTTTAGTAAAAATAACTTTTTTCTAGCATATTATTTTTTACTAATTAATCAATCAGTTGTTTTTAGGGTAACATATACATTTCAATAGCTTTTTTTTCTGTCTTATCATGTACGTTTTACTTTTTTCTAACCATATAGTTTTTAGTAAAAATAACTTTTTTCTAGCATATTATTTTTTACTAATTAATCAATCAGTTATAGGAAGTTTTTCGAGATGCTTCTGTTTTACCAGGTTTAAGTTGGATAATTGTCAATTTGTAGATAGGTTATTTTTTTTACTTATAATATATTCTAACTACCTGTTAAATAAATATTGTTTTTCTGTTCTTTTTATATCAGATTTTTAATTATGTGACATATTAACTGCATTTCATTCCACCCTCCAGCAAATAATAAGTAGGTACGGAATTTTTTTGTATAATTAGTTTTTCTAGTGTATTATATT